TGTATGTATGTATGTATGTATGTATGTATGTATGTATGTATGCATTTAAGCACGAATTGGCGGGCCCCGCAGGTAACTTGTGCGGTGGCCTGACTAACATCTGAAGTGCAGTCAAAAATAGCTTCTGCTCCTTTATAACAGCTGTAACAGCCCTCAAAGGATTTATGTACTACGTTACAATTGAAATTGAGTAATTTTTGATGAAGTTGGATTGCCGTCCTGTCGGGGGTCACGGCTAATTCGACTGAGAAGGCATTCAAGTGAATTTTTGGAATGCTCTTTGGTCCGCTAAGAACGACTCCGTTTGGTATTGGGAGTGGTAGTGTGTTTGACAATCGATATATTTGGCGAATGTCATTGTCTGTGCAGTAACAGGATACTGTATTTTCGGCTGGGTTGCACTTGCAAGTATCCGTAATGCTGCACTGACTTGATGTATTGAAAGTTGAGGGATTTGATGCGCAAGCGTAGCTAAACTGTGTTTCATCGTCGAGGTATGCCGATGTTTTGTTATTTGATATGAATCGTTTGTATTGTATTGAAGTTGCTGAGTAGTGGAAAGAGGTCACTTCAATTTTGGTGCCTCCTAAGGTGCGGACCGTGTAGGGTTTAATTTCTCCCGTAAATGTCCTCAAGTTGTTTTGAGAATCTAGTTGTTCAATTTTGATACTTATAGTTTCGAGCCATGTTGGGCATTGGAAAATTTCATAAACTTTGTTATCTTTCGGGACGTGGTAGATCCTATAGAAGAGGCATCCCGAGGAGGGAAAGCCGCATGAACATCCCCAAAACCCACATGACTCTGTACAGTATGTTATGCCCGTGAAATTATTGGCGATATCGAGTTCTTTGATGAGTGTGTCTGTGGAAACTCCTGCACACTTTAGGCCCGTACAAGAGCCTTTGCTTGGACATCTTTTCTTTGATTGCACGCGTGTTTCGGTATTTCGCGTGAAATATAGTGTTTCTTTTTGACATCTTAGAATGACCTTTTCTACCGATACTTTCATGAAATGTGCTTGAACGTCCTTATGTTGTAGTTGCAGGCACAAATCTGTCTGCATTGTGTTGAACTTGGCGAGGACTGTAGTTAAGTTACTACAGTTCTGACTGTTTGAATCGCATTGACTAATAGTGGATGGGAAGATTATTACTTGCTGACATCCGTAGCATGTCGTCCAAATGGTGCAAATAGCCAACAGTCGTATGAACGTAGAAGCTTTCCATTTCCTACGGTTCCCATTGGTAATTTCTACTAGAGGGACGAACTCTGTTGATGGTCTTTGTTGAGTTCTCCATCTAGAAAGGCAAAGGTTTCTAGCTTTTATGACTGTCCCACATATGATTCTACCTCCTCTACATAACTTTTTAATGGTAAGAGACACGAGGCACCCAGTAATGAGGACTATGTAGAATATTGCTGCTCCTAAAAAAATGGCAACCCGAGGCCAGCACTCTGGGTTGGTGACCATTGTTGTACAGAGGGTGCATTTTATTTGTTCGCAAAAGGGGCTTGGGGGACAAGCCCAGTGGAGCGCTTCAGTTGAGTTGTTTATCAACATTTTGACTATTATGTGGTAAGAATGCAAGGTTATTTCTGCTGGAAACTGCACCTTTATAGACGGGTTTGGGTGATTGATTTCCAAGCAGTAGTCGTTCGCGCAAACTAGCATTTTTTCTTGATATTGTGAAGTTTGAATTAGGATTCCTCCTTTTGTACATTGAAGTATGGTTCCCCTTTTTAGTGGTTGTACATTTGTTGGTGCGGCAGCGCACAGACTTGTCAACAATGTAAACACTAGCCAGCGGTGCCAATATGCATGTGGCTGGTTTACACGTGTGTGCTCGACCCGCGCCTGAGTGGCGTGTACGTAGTAGTTAGTTTGTTCTTTTGCGCGGCGTGGTAGCCATGGTCGAGTTCGAATCTTCTCGCTGCCGCGATGTGGGGTATTGATTTTGCAACCTTCGCGACTGGTGTTGTCGGTGTGTTCTTCTGTTGACGTTTGTTTTGATTCTGTGTCTTTGACGTGTTTTTGAGTATCTGTTCCTTCGATTTCCAGTGGAATAAGTTGATTAATTGATCTTGTGATGTTCGATTTCGTAGTTTTGAGTTCAACGGACCTGATATGTCCGTCTTGATCTTGTATAAGTTTATTGACTAAACCTAATGGCCATTCTCCGCGTGGTGTATTTTCCTCCATTATAAGAACAACTTCGCCAATGTAAGGTTTCTTCCTTGTGAAACTTTTTTGCTTTATTCTTGTTTGATGAAAATTCCTCAGTTCCAGTAAGTAGTTGCTGGTCCAAAATTCCCATAGGTTTTGCATATATCTCAGATGTTCTTGGAAGCGCTGAATAGTCTCTTGTTTTGTTGACTGTACTGGATAATAATCCGGATCGCCATTTTGGTCGTTATAAGGCAAGAGATTTACATTGGCGTAGGGAATGATGAAATCTATAGGGCGAATGATTGCCGAATCTTCTATCGCACTACCAGTGTATGTGAGTGGTCTTGAGTTGACCATTGCTTCACACTCTGGTATTACGGTAGCGAACTCGGTTTGATGCAGTGATTTCTTTCGCGTTATTCTTTTGAGGGTTGATTTCATAATCCCAATCATACGTTCGTAGAAACCTCCTTTCCACGGGGATAGGGGCGTGATGAATTCCCATTTCATGCCCTCATTCGAGAAGTAATCTTGAACATTTGGAGTGGGGGCTTCAATGCGGTCGCTAAGAGTTTGAATAATTTCGCAACCCAAAGTGAAATTAGTCGCGTTATCTGAGATTACGAGTCTAGGTCTACCTCTTCGCGCAACGAATCGACGTAGGCCATGGACAAATTCGATAGCGTTCAAGTTATTGATGATTTCTAGATGAACCGCCCTGGTTACCATGCATGTTGCAAGCAATACCCATTTCTTTTGTGTCTCGTTGTCGCCGCTAAGGATGTGAAACGGGCCGGCTAGATCGATGCCGACATGTAAGAATGGGCGTGTTGGTACTGTCCGCGATTGCGGCAACGGCGGAGAGTTGGGGTAAAAGAAGGGCTTAGAATTCCATCTTTTGCAAGTCATGCATGTTTTCAAACATTTTTTGACTGTTTGACGTCCCTTTGGGATCCAGTAGTTTAGCCGTATGTTGGCCAATGTCCCATTAACGCCTTGATGTCCGCAGCGACGGTGAATTTCTTGTATAATTAAATTAGTGAAATTGTGATTTTCTGGAAGGAGAATAGGCTCTTGAGTTTCTCTCGCTAAATGCTTAGCTTGAATTCTCCCTCGGCATCTCATAATTCCGTTTTCGTCCATGTATAGTCGTAGGTTGCTGAGTTTCGCAAGTTTTTCGTGCGAAAGTACTTGCTGTGCCCACTTGATCAATCTTCGTTCAGCCATCGTGAGGTCGATTGATTGTAGTGATGTCAGTGGTTGGTCCGTGATGATTTTTTCTAGTTCTGGTATGGTCTTCTTCAATTTCTCTTGATATTTTAGTGAGAGCTTATTAAAGATAGTAAATTTGAGAAATTTCATAACTAGGGCTAGAACCCTTTTGTACTTTTTGAATGATGAGTAGTTTCCGAGAAATATTGATTGTTGAACGTGTTCCTCGGTGTTGGTGGCTAACACAGTTTGAGATATTTCCTGGTAGTTTGTGTCTGCTTCGTTTCCGTTTGACGTCCAGGAATATTCTGGTAATTGTGGCCATCTTGAGTTGTCATGAAGAAGAAAGGGAGGACCGTACCACCAGATGTTGTCACTCATTTGTGTCTTATTGGCGCCTTTTGTCGCACAATCAGCTGAGTTCATTTCGGACGGTATATAGTTTATATGACATGTTATGCCTTTGTCTGACCAACTTTGCAACTGTTCTCGTATTTCTCTGCACCTGTTGTCGACAAAAGTTCCATTTTTGTTGTTTGACTGAACCCAATGGAGAGCGACTTGCGAATCGCTGAACACGCGAATTTCGCTGATAAGTAAGCGTATTTCCTTCAGTATGAAATTCGTGAGCCGTATTCCGATTAGAAATGCTAAAAGTTCTAATCGCGGTATCGTTACTGTTTTCTTGTTCTTATTGATCGGTGCCAATCGCTGCCTTGCCATCAACAGAGTCATGTGAATGTTACCATCCTCATTGATCGTTCGTAGATAGGCTACCGCAGCGAATGCCCGTATTGACGCATCGACAAATGTATGGATTTCATAGCGGTTGTTTGTTGTAAGGTCTGTGAGCGCGCGAGGGACCGTTGTTTCGAACCCAGCTGCGTTCTCGCAGATTGATTGCCACTCACATTTAAGCTTTGGGGGTAACTCTTCGTCCCATTTGTAATTTCCTTTCCAAAGATCTTGAAGGAAAAACTTTGCAGGTAGTAATAAGGGTATGAGTAACCCCAATGGGTCAAAGGTTGAGTGAGTTGCTTGTAAAACCTTACGTTTAGTTAACGTGGAAGAGTGCCGTAGTTTGCATTTAAGATGAAAAGTGTCCTTTTGATGGTTCCACGGAATTCCGAGAATTTTTATTGACTTGCTGGTTGAGAGGTCTTTGAGAGCTATTGACTTATTGCAATAGTCGTCATTTGTAATAAATTGACGTAAATTCATGGACATATTATTGAACACTTGTTTCAATGATTTATATTTCTCAATAAGTGATTGCGTGGAATCATCAGTGAGAAGGACATTATCGACATAGAGATTATCCTGGAGTTGTGTTTTGAGATTTTTATCGATATTTTGTTGGTTTTCGACACCATACTTGATGGAAATTCCCAGTAAAAATGGAGATGCGTTAATCCCAAAAGGTAAGCGACAGAATCGGAGTATTCTTAGGTTATCTGGTGTCGGTGGGAGTGTAACGTCCCTAAGCCATAGGAATCGAACGGCATCTCGTTCCGTCTCTTGTAGATGGATCATGTGGAAAGCCTTTTCCACATCTGCGATCATTATTTTCGAACCTATTCTTGACCTAATGAGGACTCCACACAAATTAGGTAGGATTAGAGGTCCTTGATGCACTACGTCGTTGAGACTTAATTCACCTCTCATTTTTGAGGAAGCGTCAAGCACAATGCGTGTTTTTGTTGTTGAACTCTCTGATTTGATGACTGCTTGATGAGGAATATAATAGCATGGTGTTGCGTTGTTTGCTTGGGAGCGGGGTGCATCTTCTATGAACTGCTTTTTAAGCTGTTCATCGATTATGTCGCAGTATTCCCTCCAACATTGAGGATTGCGATCTTTCATTTTGAAGAGTTGGTGGAGTCTGCTTAGTGCAAGATTGTAGTTATTAGCGAGACGGCTCTTGTTCGATTTCCACGGAAATCTCACAAATATTTTGTTGTCCTTGACTTGAACTGTTGAATAGAAGTCTGCCACTATTTGGTCATTGACTTCTTCTTGCGTGCTCATGTCTTCAATTCCGACTGTGTTGAGTTTCCACAATTCAGAAATGTCCATATGATTAGAAGTTGAGTCAAAAATCATGTATGTATTTAGAATCCGTTTGCCGTAACTTGCAAGTTCAGTTTGCTCATTAGTGGCATCAGGAACTCCCGACACTACTAGGCCGAAGAAGGTTGATGTAAGGAAAAGTCCAGACGGGAGGCGTATCACTGGTGTGTGTAGTTGCATGATGGCGTTGAAATAGTCCATCCCGATAAGCAGTTCGGGGACTACTGTGCCGCAGGTCGTTCGTGAGATCCAGTGCCATTCCTCGGTGGGGAAGTGTTCTTGTATAAAGAGATCATCTTCAGGAAGTAAAGAGCCCATATTAAGAGGGGGTGTAATCGTATCATTTGTAAGAAGCTCAACCTTGATATGGTCACCTTCTCTATTGAACAGAGAAGTGATTACTCGTTTTGCTCTTCTTTTTTCGGCTCTTCCTCCGAATGTATTCACCAAAATTGTAGTTTCGTTTTGAGTTTTGAGATTCTTTCGACGGGCAAGCGATGTTGATATGAACGATTGATCTGAGGCTGAATCTAGTAATGCCAGTACGGTCTCTTTCTCTTGACTTTCTGAAGATTGTATTTGTACCGGAACGATCATTAAACGCACATTACTACTATTTATGAAAGTGTTTGCGAATTCATCGTTTGACTCTTCTGTAGTCGAATTTTCTTGAACCTGGAAGTTGACATTTATGTTTTCTAAAGATCGTTTTCGCGGTTGAGGTGATTGACTAAATCGAACTTGCCGCTCTCCTTTTCTTGCGGGCGAGGAAGATTGTTTGGCTATATTTCTGTTTAACGGGGCTTTATGTAATGGTCTTTGTGATGATCGTTTTGGGGTTTGATCGTATTGATGGAAGTTTGATGGCCTGCTTAAATGGTCTTGTCTTCTTGGTGAATAGCTCTGGCTTTTGAACGGTCCTCTTGGGGAATGACTTCTCTGTCTTGAATAAGTTGACGTGTTGGGCGAGATATATCGCCGTTGATAGATGTTGTGTCTTTCGGTTGGACGTCGTGGACGTTGACGGCATATGATATAATTGTGTGGACCTCCGCAATAAGGACAGTTCTGTTTGCGACAGAATACTGTGTGGTGTTTGAGACTAAAACACTTCCAGCATGCGTTGAGTTCACGTAAACGCGCTATCTTTTGCGTGGAGTTCCAATACTTGTTACAGAATTGGAACTTGTGCTGTTGGCCACAACCCGTGCATCTCACCTTTGGGAGGATCGTTGTACTTGTGTGGAAAATGGAGCGTTCGCCTTGATACGGGTCCTTTACGCTGTCAACGTGTTCTTTCCGCTTGATAGCTATTGCCAGGTTGTCGAGTAGCTGGTCCATAGTCCATATGTTGCCAGAATCGAACTCTTTCTTGGCCATCTCGTCCTGAATAGCTTTTGAGAATGTTTCCAAGACCATTGTTCTGAGGTTAGTGGTGTTCACTTCCTCCCCCTGCTTTTCCAATGTTGCTATAATGGCTTGAATATCACTAAGATTGTTTCTCAAAGAACGATGGTCATCTTGACACTGTCTCATTGACTTAAGTTTTTTAATCATTTGCATTATGATTCTTCTCGGATCTTGATATTGACTTTTCAATTGATTTACAGCCTTCTCGTAGGACTCACCTGTTCTAGGTATCATTTGAAGAGTTCTTGCCGCGTCTCCCTTACAACTATTGAGGAGAATTGAGAGTTTCTCAATATTTGAATAAGGCTGTTTATGTACTAATTCTTCGAATAATTCCCAGAAGGAGTCAAATTCTGAAGGCTTGCCATGGAAGTGAGGTACCTTTAACTCATTTCCGAGTAGTCTTCGTTCCATTGTCCATGCATTGATGGGATGAGCTTGCTGATTTGAATTCCCTGCGCTCTGGAGTTCGTTCGAGGCCTCTTGCTCTTCTTCCCTTTTGAGTTCTCGCTTGCCAGATTTTGCTTGACATTGAAGTTCCAAAAGGCGTATTTCCAATTGGCGTTCCACGTTTTCAGCTTGGTAAAGGAGGTTCTCTCCTTCTTTCTCAAGCCAGTAGTCATCAAATTGTCTTTCAGTCTCCTCTTTTTCTTCCTGATCTAGATTGAAGATTGACTGGTTGCATTCAGCATAATAGTTGCTGATGTCATCCTTTCTTTGACTCAGTTTAGATACTAGGTTTTTGACAATCATATCTTTTGAAACTATGAAAAGGTCTAACTCTTCCGCTCCGTTTGGGAAGTTCCACGGTTCTTCGAACTCGCGTGCTTCCTCCAACAGGCCCGTAAGGGCGTTGAGCTGCCTGGTTAACCTTTGCTTTGCATTTTTCAGCATAAACTGCTGCCGTGACATCTTTGCATTGATGTCTCCTTGTCAGTGGGCTTGTGAGCAGGAGCGAAGGACTGACTTCGAGGACTGGAGGAATGCTAGTGCACTGGTCGGCTCTGGCGAGATAGATATATATGTTTCTGTTATCACATGGTCTTATCGGAATTAAAAGATTCCTTGATATGTTGTGAATTTTCTTATGGGAAAGTCACATTTGCTGACTCCTTGAGTGCATGCTTTGAGAAACTTCGATAATCTTCCTTATGTTTTTTGAAAGGATGAAATCTCAAGTTTTATCTTGCAATAGTTGTGAGAAATTCAAGGGTGGAATGTTTTGTTTTGGCTTTCAGAAACTGCTGTCTTGAGAAAATCTCTTGAGGTCAAAATTGCATTCTTCAAGTTTTATATATACACATACATATACATATACATACACATGTATATATATATATACATATATAATGCGGTATTACTAAATAGGAAGGTTTGAAAAGAAAGAAATACTCGAATTCATGCGTGTTCAAGTATTTATTTGAGTAGACTTGAATGCTAGGCAGGTTGACATTTTCCCTTTTTTCAATTATGTCTTTCAAACTGGTACGACTTTTCAGTCAATCACTGGTAATTTTTTTTTTTTTTTTTGAGTACACAAATTTTGCCGGCTTCGAAATGAGTTTATAAGAGTTTATAAGGTATACCTTACTGTTCGGCCAGACTATCGGTCTGCCACCGGGTTTCTTCGAGTTTTCCTCTCGTCGTTAATGTTTCTCCTGCGGTGAGATTTGTTCTAGTCTAACCTGCCAGATTTATAAGGTGAAGCTTGAAGAAGCGAGGGATGGAGAGTATTTAAAAAAAAACGGAGTTTTTGCCACTGTGTCATGGTACAACATAGATGCGCCTTTTGGGCCCTAAAAGGCGTACCTTGAAGGAGTATTTTGCACTGGCGTGAGGAATCCGTCTTTGCTTTCGGATAGTACAAGCACTTCGCTCTTCTCATCAAGTTCCTTCCAATTAATTAGTAACTTGAGAGTAATGCAATTAAATACCTTCGCTTATTGAGAAAAATCTCTACTTGAATATGATGTTGAGGCGATGTGCTCAGTGGGAATAAACCCTTGCTGAGACACCACGTCATTTTGAATTTGGCCGATGCACCATGTTCTGGGGGGCATCACTTCCCAGATGTAAAGGGTTAATGATTGGTGTTCAGTAAACACAGTAGACAACAATCATTTATTAGACAAATCCATCACGATTATTTCCACGTTTTCAGTGACCAAAATATCTACTAGGAAAATCTAAGTCCTTGATATCTTTGACTAATTTGACGGTTTGACAGGAGTTTTATGTCTCTTGAGAAGGGCGGTCTGCCTTGACGAGTCCGCCGGTCTCAACCTATTTCCGTATGCCGGCAAGTCCAGCCTAGGATACTGTAGCAGCGGTCAGCGGGTACCGCCAACTGACTCAGCGGTTTCGCTGGCCGCCAGATGGTCGTGGCGATCGACCAAGCAACGAGATTGTTCTCCTGACCCCGCTGAACGCTTTAGCGGCGCTTAAATGCCTGGCGCCGGAGGCGGGACCAAGGGGATGACATCATGAACATAGAGTTCATGACANCCAAGCAACGAGATTGTTCTCCTGACCCCGCTGAACGCTTTAGCGGCGCTTAAATGCCTGGCGCCGGAGGCGGGAGCAAGGGGATGACATCATGAACATAGAGTTCATGACAGTATGTATGTATGTATGTATGTATGTATTTATATGTATGTATGTATGT